TAGAGTTTTTATGTGCATGTACATAGGTGCGTAAGAAATAATGTTTCATGATAAAAATCTGTGGTTCAAAACACTGCACACCGTTGCGTTTGTAATTATGTAGTTATAACCATTCTAACTTTTTCACATTTCATTTCATTTTTAATATACATTTTGTTATTTCAAATTACAAATATCTTTATTAACAAGCCAACGTGAATAATTCTATTATTTTAAAATTTGAGTCCCATTTTCATTTTCAGCTGACATCTACGTACATATGTATGTACTGGCAACATAATAAGGGCAGTTGTTTTTTAATTAACCGAAATTCGACTTAAAACATATACAAGCATTTACTGTTACTTATAATTTATTTATCTTTATTTCGCTTGTTCATTTACGTTTATGCACATACAACACTGTCATGTTTATAAAACAATAGATTTTTGAAGCATTTTTAAAGCTATTTTTTTTTGTTTAACCAACATACAGTTTTAACATAACTATTTCAACAAAAAATATTGTTTACAATTCGTTTTTCTTTTTCAATTTTCGCGAGAGAAAGCGCTTCGCATTCGAAATACTTCACTCACTATATTCGTCGTTTTAAGTTTCGTTAATACATATGTAAGTCGTTACTCTTAGGTTGTTTGTTTATTGCAATACTATACATATGCATGTATGTGTATTTGTTTTTGCACTGGCAATAATTGTCGAAAACGCACTGACCAACACTTTTAACTATACATCTCAACTGACAGTGCATTTCCAAGACCGACGTTGTTAGCGTCGCTGGGCTTCGGCCTCAGCTTCTAATTCAAACTCAAAGAAGCAGTCGTTGCTTATGTAAAATGTGCGCCATTGAGCACCATCGCCATCCCCAGAATCTTCCACACTACCCACTCACATCTGCCTGTATGGCGAATGCATTTTCAGCCATTGAAGAACAAGCGACGGGCCACCAGCTTGTATCTCTGGTGGTATCGTGCTCAGAGGACATTTGTCAATGTTTAGATATTTCAAATTTTGGCATAGTGCCAGCTCGTAGGGCAGCTTCTCTAAGCACGGATTTTGATTGATGTATAGATTTTCAAGATTCTCCAGCGAGCCAATCTCTTCGGGCAGGTACTGTAAATTATTTTCGCTTACTGACAGGTGCGTAAGATTGCTGAGATGGCCGATGCTACGCGGTAATATCGATATCTGATTTGTTTGCAAAATTAACTTTTGCAACTCGTGCAAAAGTCCAATCTCGTTGGGGAGAACCTCTATGCGATTCTCTTCCAGGTCAAGAATGCGCAGTTTACGCAAATTACCTATAGTATTCGGAATCTTCTTGAGCATGTTATTGGACAGAACTAGAATTTCAAGATTTTGTAAGTTCATTATGTCATCAGGTAACTTCTGTAATGCATTTGTTGCCAAATTCAGTTCGACCATATTAACCCAGGTGCCTACATCCAGTGGTAACGCAGTAAGTACGTTTTCCTTCATATTTAGTTTTGTGAGACCTTTGGCGCGCGAGAATATGCCATATGGTATTTTGTCGATGCGATTATGTTCAAGATTGATACTGTAGACGTTAGTAAATTGCGCAGGCCCACCGGTCGGGTAACTGGTGAAAGCGTTTCGCGACAGCGTTATGTTCGTCAGAGCACTAAGGCTAGCCAAAAGACCATCGGGCAATTGTGTTATACCGTTGCCCTCGACATTAAACTCGTCCATGCATTTGCAATTCTTCAGCGTTGCTGGAATACTAGAAAGGCGATTGTATCTGAAAACAAGTTAATAAAAATTTAAAAACGTAGAACCAGCATATTTACATTCAGATACATTAGACTACTCAGGTACCATGGTTTCATGTTACGAGTTGCCAGATTTTTTATGCGCAAAATCAGTACGTCTGACTGTTTCATGCTAAAAAAATCAGTACTTTTCAGTACGTTTTTATTCAAAGCAAAATTATGAATGTAAGTAACAGATAATACTTTAAAACGGCAGAGAACTTGTTTTTAACAATAATTTTGTATATCAAAAAAAATATAGTTCATAAAAAAAATAAAAGCTTTATTCATTTTAACAAGAGTGTACACATCATTGTACACAGGAGCCAATAAATTATTTTATTATTAATAATGAGATCATTTCTATTTTCAATGTTCTTTAAATAGTCAATGAATTCTATACATTCCATTTTAAAATTACTTTTAATTTGAAGTTCACTTTAAAAAAAAAAAAATTTATTAGAAGCCGATTTCTCTCTTTTCGCCAGGAAGCAAATTTTATACTTAAGATCAAGGCATATTAAACTAGGTAGATGGGATTTTGACATTTCTCTCTTTTGAACACCGACTATAATGTCAAATGATGAATAACTTTTAACCCTTTTCAAGTTGGCATTTTCTAATTTTCATTAAAAATTCAATTGTGCTTTGAGATAGTTTTGAAGTGGGTGAATTTTTTTTTTTTTTGTTTTTCGACCACATGCATTTATAGATACATACATATAAAAAAATGAAAAGGAGCAGGAACTACGAGCGTTGCATTGTGTGGAAAGTTGTGCGATACCTTAAGGCGGTTAGTTGCGAAGTTAGAAGACTTGGAATTTCAGAACTGAGTAAGAGAATTTTCTTACAATATTATGCATACATAACCGCGTCAGGACCTAGACTTACAGTTATATACACACGTATGTAGAAGAAAACATTAAATCGTATTTTATAAGTGGGGATGTTTTTTTAGAAGTAAATATTTAACTAAAGCCGCAAACACATTGGGCGAATAGAAACAAAAAAAATGTTTATTTTCCTGACATGCGGCTATCTTATACAAATTTTCAAATAAGATAAGGTCTAATCTTTCATCTCGCTCGGTATAATTTCGTCATGATTAGGTTCAATTGATGCTAATTTGTAGCAAACATAGCACGCGCACCTCATAGGGTTAATTTGTTTGTTTACAGTTTTTTGACATTGAAACTAGCTACAAGAGAGTTCGAGATAGATGTAACTTCTACCTTGTTAAGTATGCCTTGCTTAAGATCCTCTCAGTTGCTTTGTTTGAGTGTGGTATTGAAAAAAAAAATTTAAATTACATTTTTTTTCAAACTGTGCAAAAGTACCACTATTTAAGGACTTCATGTATATTTGCTCATGGCTTAAATTATTTTTTTTCAACTACAAAAAAACTTTGAAAGACTAAGAATTCGCTAAAAAGTGTATCTAACTCTATGTCTCGCATGCACAACTCTTTAACAATGTCAGTAAATTGTGAAAAAATAATTGTAAGTTATAGGCAATTTTTTTTGTTATTAAACTGAACGTTATTTTCGTGATAACTAACAACACACGACAAAAAATCTTTAGCCTTCTTGTTGAATAACACTTTGTAAAACGATGTGGTTAGGGGCCTAAAGTGAAGTGAAGTGAAAGAAAAGTTGTGCTTTTTTCAAGCATTCGGATGCAAAGCATACTTTGTACGTAAAACAAGGATATTAACATTTTCTTTATTTTGTACTTTGTAATTTAAGAATATTTGGGCATTTACACATTTTTCTACGTATTTGGCAATTCGTGCTGGGTATCTTGATGCTGCTACGCAAATGGAGGCACCTATCGTTTTATGCCGCCTCCGAACGGCAAATGCTTTTAAGAGAATCTTTGTCATGACAGAATATACTCGGGGGTTTGACATTCTCTACCGGAGGCGACCGTTTTTAGAAAAAAAAAAACGTTTCCTAGTTTCGATGGGGCTCGGACCAGGGATCGAAAGTTGGTCCTACCGATTAGATGTCCACATTTCTTACCACTCGGCTACGTTAGCCAAAATGTAATACAATAATATAAAATTATAGTTTAGTTACTCTGGATACAATAGATCTTTTGGTCGCAGTGCATACCTCAACTAATATCTATCTATCTACTCTTTGTTCTTGCACACGAAATTCCTCGTCAAAGTAAAATATAACGGAGTGTAAGCGCATTCAAAAATGGAATGTGCGAACGGCAATAAGGGAACCGGGATTCATATATTGAAGGCGGCCTTAGGTAGCTAACTCTGAAAGAATCCTGGTATTTTCAAAAAAAAAAAAGCTCATAATCATATAGTGTATTCTAGCTTATTTATGAATGTACCTTAAACCCAAACGGACCAAACATTTCAAATTGCCAATCGTTTCTGGTATATCCAAAAGCTCGTTGTGCTGTAAATCCAATGCATTCAAATTCACGCATTTGCCAATCTCCTCAGGCAAGTGTTCAAGGTGGTTGTGGGACACATCTAGCGTTGTCAAATTTACTAATGCACCAAT